TATATATATATATACACATATAATCCATTTATTTAATTATAAAAAATAATTAATTCTGTTTTATTTCTGCAAGCAATCTGTTGTTGGATTATTTTAACAAAATTCTTTTGAGAAATATAATAAATGTGAACATAGTTAATGAATGCCAATTTGTTGTAATATTTTATCCGAAACTAATAGAAGATTATTAGTTATGTTAACATCCATTTATTTGATAGTTATTAAATTCTAAGCACCGATTATATTTTCGCAATTATGAATCACGCATCAGAGCAATTACTTCTGTTGCATACTTTTTAAAATATGTTAAAATAACGTATAATACTTTGATTTATATCATAAAAAAATAATTTTTAACTTCAGTTTTATTATTCAATTTTATTATTCCTGACATATCCTGTCTTATAGTAATTCTTACAAAATGATATTCCTTACGTAACTCCTTATATATATGTACGGTGTTATTTTTTCGTTGAGATTTATTCTCAATTACCTGTTCTTTATGAGTCCACCATCACTCGCAGGACGGACAAATATGAGAGAGAACTTTTTAATATAGTCATATAAGTCTCGATAGTTACGACGAAAAATCTGCCAGCTAACAGTTGGACAGGTTGCTGCGATCGCATAATGACGAACAGAACATTTCTCATTAATTTCAGTGGAAAGCAGTACCAATTACAGCTGTAGATAGACTGAGCGATATCTTCCATTTGACACTTTAGATAGTCGCCCACGAAACTATAAAAGAATAATTGTAACAATAGAGCGCCCATCACTGTTATGGTTTTAGTTATCATCACTACATCATGTGATTTCAATGCCAAAATAAATTGGAAACCTGAAAAATATGTAATAAACAACATGCACAGATTAATTTTCTCTGACATTACTGAGATAGAAATTTTTCAAGATTTACCTAACATTTCTTTTACGTTATTAAGATATATAGAATTAGATAATGTTTCTCAGGCAATTAATATAATTTTTGAACGTTTTACAAAAAAATTTACGATATTCCGTAAAATACTTTTTGCTGACAAAATGTAATAATACGTTACATAACCGAAAAAGTAACTAGTTTAAAATATTTACCGATCAAACAAATAATAAGACAACTAAACAGCATTTGCACAAGCAAAACGAAACTTATTACTTCGACGAGAAGTTCCGCATGCTCCATTAAATAATGATGTCTTGATGCTAATTTTGAAAAATCTTCAAATATATTCTTGCTTTTCACGCCATAATTGACAAATTCGATTTTTAGAATTTCCATTTGCCCACAAACATGTGTAGTGATAGCGAGGAAAAGTGAATCACTGCCTTTATAAATAAATGTCAATTTTTCACTAACATATACATTGAAAGTTTTAATAAAAAGGTTAATAGTTAGAACTTCTGCTGCAGAACTGATAAAAAAAAGAAAATATTATAACTTATAAAATAAATACGACATGCATTAAAAGAAAATATCTAGTGAAAAGTAAATAAAAATTAAATATGTAATATCAATTAAAACAAATACTTTATTTAATCAGACCTCAAGTTTAGTATGCTTTTACTTAATAAAAAAGCTGAAAGCTAATAAATAGTTAAAATTTAAAAATTGAAGCGTATTATCGAATTTTATTAAAGCAAAACGTTTAAACAAATACGCAAGCTTCATTGATATTAACAATTAGCTAATTACCACAATTACAGTTGCTATTGAGTACCAGTAGAAAATATTGCACTATAGATATTACGAAGAATAAATTCGCAGAGAGATGATAGCTTCCTAACGACCATGTTAAGGGTATAGGTAAATCTGATGCTTGATTTTTGATAGATACATTAACTTGAATATTTTCTTCATCGCTAACTATTATAGGCACCAGACAAAAAATTGTTGAAGCCAAATAAGCGAAAAATAAAATACTACAGCTAATTATCCTTCCCATGAATGCGTGTTGTCGCATGATCGCTTGCTTCTTCTTACTGTTGATCGCGAGATAATCGTTTATAGCAGAGGTGAAATTGCGAATCATATTATTGGCATATATGCGGAATGACAATAATTTCAATACAGAGAGAACGTTGCAGAACATAAGCATAAGAGCATCGAGCTTTACATACGCATCGCTGCTACCGAAAATGATTTCGAGGAACAACATGATCATCATCCCAGTCTACACAGACAGAAAGAATGGACTGTTTATAACAAAGCTTTATTTCTGTTTCTTGCATTTTTGCACTGTGCACTAAACATTTCACTTGAAATTGAACATGATATATCGAACATAATATATCAATATACGAGAAATTTTTCCAGAGAAATTTTTTTGAAATACGAAAAAATTGTAATATGAAAATTGATAACGTACCAAACTGGAGCCAGATATAATAGAACGAATTAAAGCAAATGTATTATATTTTTGTAAAGGCCAAACGCCTAATGGCAGAGTTAAAAGTTTGAAGGGAGTCATAGCGTATGCTACATCATCATTCCATGTCATTATTGCAGTTAAGTAGAGCTGCGCGTTGCACAGTAACTCAATAATACCGGTCCTTGTCCATAATGCGGGCCGATCACGTTCGCTTTCGTGTTCATATTTTATTGACGCATTTACTATAATATCTTATGATTTTCCAAAACACAGTTATTTTTTAAAATGAAGGAAACAATTTTTCTTTTATATGAAAGTAAAGTGGGATCGAAATGAGAGAGGGAGATGCTTTATTTTCCAGTGCAACATTTGTCATTGATCGTGCTTCAATACTTTTATTTTAATATTATCTTTTTACAAAGGATATGTATGATTAACTTAAAATTTAGTGCGTCAGTTTTTTTTAGATGATATAAATAATATTATTAATAAAATTATTCGCAGACATTTCATATTTTGCTTTTGTTAAGTTCAATTATTACTTTATTTGAATAGACGAATGCACAGTAGTTTTAATTTTAAAATGTTACTCTACGTGTTATTAATTTTTTAGATGTCTTCATGTAATGACTATGATAACTGATTAAAAAAAAAGGAAATGTGCCGTATATATTATTTTGTAGCTGTTTAAGAGACTAATATTTTTTTATATAATGAAATAATTAATTCTGCTTTATTTCTATAAATCTATTGTTGGATTACAAAATTAGTTAAAGGAATACGAGATTAAATACAAATAAGTCGATATCAATTAACATCCATATTCTACTTTTTGAAAAAACTTAGTATAATATTAAGATTTTGTTTACTTATCAAATTGTCAAGCAAAATCACAATTTCGTACTCGTAAATTACGCATTACTGCAGCTTTTTAAAATAATGTGTTACGAATGATGTACAATACGTTTATTAATATTATAGAGAAAACAATATTATTTACTTTAAGTTGATTATTCAATTTTATTGTTTAATTTCAGACATATTTCCAAATATGGTATCTCATAGTAATTTTTTTATATAATAATAATATATTTGAGTGTGTGTATTGAAATATTTTTTCTTCTCAAAGTTACCTGCATTTAATCATCCTCCATTACTCGTAGGATAGACAAGTATGAGAAGAATTTTTAATATGGACATATAAGTTTCGATTACGAGGTTGCGACAAAAAAAGTTATTCGCCAGTTAACAATTGAACAGGTTGCTGTAATCGTATAATGACGAACAAAACATTCCTTACAAATTTCAATGGAAAGCAGTACCAGCTGTAGATCGATTAAAATAATCGTTAACAAAACTATAAAAGAACAATTGTAACAATAGTGCATTTACTCATGAGATCCTTGTTAATACTACTGTATAGTGTCAAATTTAATTATTGTTTTGGTAAAAAATAACAATATATTTAGTAGAAGCAGTGGCGACTCACATTAGATTAAATTTGACATTAGATTTAATAGTGTATCCTTTCTTTTATTACTTATACAAATTCTTTCTAAAGATATTAAAGTATATGTAAGAATCATTTGATAATTTTCGTATACTTATAAAAATGATAAAAATTAATCCATGACACGAACAACTTGTATGTAGTAAATAATCGTGGAAAGTCATTGTGTATGCTGTATATTAACGATTAATATAATAAATTCCAACATTGATTGCAGAACAAAGACACTTGAGAGTCTCTTTGTCCTGCAGTCAATCAGGACAGGCTTGAAAAACTTTATCGTACGACACATGAAATATCTTAGAATGATATATTTCTTTTTTTAAATCTGTAATATGATGATCTCTTCAATATATCTTCAGAAATATGTGAGGTCTATTACAGTTTTAACTAATCCAAACGATTTTATCGAAAGAGATTGTAATAACAAAGATTCTCGATAGTTTACCATTGTCGTCTCAGAGATATCGATCAAATAAAAATAATATATATTGTATTGTATAATATGTATTGTATATTCTGATTTAAATCTGAATCTTTGATACAGATAGTAGACGTGTAACTTTGGGCCGGCCCTAGTGAAAATTTTTCTCAGAATTTTTCATGTAATTTTTCAGAATTTCTATATAATTATTTAGAATTTCTCTATAATTTTATAATTCTCTATAATTTTATATATATTATATTTTCTCACATTTTTTTATACGAATTTTTTATACGAATGGAATATTTGTCAGAAAATCTACATCTTTTCTTAAAATTTTTTATAATATGTTAATTATGAATATTGTAAGATTTTTAAGATTTTTTATAAGTATAATTTCTGATGAAATGTTATAAACTCTAAAAAATTTTAAAATACTTTTTAAAAATGGGATGAGAAATTTCATAGAATATTTCAGAATTCACATGTATAAAAAATTCTGAGAGAAGATGTAAACTTTCCGAATATTTCTGAGTATTTCTGAAAAATGTTCTAATGCGTATAAAAATTATGAGAAAAATTTTCACTAGGATTTATCTACAATAAAGTACAAACTTTCCGTTGCAAGTCATGATGCTTCACGACAGCCAATCCGAAGCATCACTAATTACTATTCTAATTGGCTATTGCGAAGCATTGCGACTAGCGATGATGTATAGCTTATATTATAGACCATACTTTTACGCTTTACAGTCGCCAAATATGATGACAAATGTATTGATATTATAAAGAAAATAATTTTATTTACTTCAATTTTATCATGGGCCTATAATAATTCTTTTATAGAATGATTGTTTACGTATGTCTATAGTGATACCTCTTCAAGTTCTCTCATTTGTTACCTGCACTCTAGTCGTCTATCATCACTCGTAGGACGGATAAGTATGAGAAGGAATTTTTTAATATGGACATATAAGTTTCAATGGTTACGACGACAAATCTGCCTGCTAGCAGTTGAACAGGTTGCTGCGATCTCATGATGACAAATAAGACATTCCTCATTAATTTCAATGGAAAGTAGTACCAATTACAGCTGTAGATCGAATGCGCGATATCTTCCATTTGACGTTTCAGATAATCGCCCACAAAACTATAAGAGAATAATTGTAACAATAAAGCGCTCAGCACGGATGTGGTTTTCGTTATTATCACTGCGTCATGTAATTTCAATGCCAAAATTAATTGGAAACCTGAAAAACACGATAATTAGATGACATGCACAAATAGGCAATTCTCTTCGGCATTATTGATATAGGAATTTATAAAATCTGATTTTATTATATTATTTTATTATATTATTTGTTTTCCTCTGAACTTTTTATTGTAATTATTTGATTTATTTCTTTAAAATCTTTATTCTTTTATATATAGTTTTTTTATTATATTATCTTTTGTCTGTTTCGTGTAAAAGTTTTGTTGTTGACTTTGTTAACGCCTTTCCTCATTATAAA